AAATATTGCCCGAATGTGAAGACGGAACACTGCCCTTCACACGCTCTACCAATCATGTTGTGGTAAACAAGATACGATGCGGTATCCTTTGTTCGTCTATATGAAGAAATGCGTTGTTGTTGGAGGCATCCAGCATTCTTGAAGAACAAGGTCTTGTGTCAAAGTATGCAGAGCACATCATGAGCACAGGCAGTGTGGGTTTTGTCGTAATCACGCTTGTTACTTTGACGCGAGCTGCATACGAAAGTTTCGTTGTTCCACTCCTGCAAGGCGAAAAATAGCCACTAATCAGCAGGGTAGAGCTCACAGCAGGTAAGTGTCGAGGAGAATAGGCGTGTGCAGCAGAGAAAAGTTACCAACCAAATTGGCATTGTACCTTCCATTGAAATCGATATACTCGTTACTCAACTGGTACGTTTCGCGAGTGCTTCGGGATCTTAAACATGCTTGTTCGTGCCCATGTGAAATCTGGAGCAATCCTTATTGATTGCCTTAATTTTGCTGGAGACCCACAAATCTCAACACGGAAATAACAGAACTTACATTCATTGCTGGCGTTCACCAGGAGGAAACACAACCCTACGAGAACGAACAACATTGCCGTCGTGATAACTTCTGCCGAACTTCCACTCCTTTTATGCTAATCCCTCTCGAACAGCACTATACTGTGCGCTTCTTTTTATACTTGTCATTGCACGTGCTCTGCCTTTTCAAAGAACCAGTCAGGCTGTCGCGCACTACTGCGCGCATGGTTAACATGGTACTGGATCACTGTCAGGATTACTGTGTTGCCCACTAACACTTGGCTTAATTCCCATTTCGAAATACGGCCGATTGTATTGCATTTCTCTTTTTTAATGAACATTTGCCAGTGTCGGCTGCTTATCAAAATCTGAGAACACCCACCATTTGTTGGAAATAGGACAGCCTAGCGGTTGAAAGAGATTCGATGGTAACAATATCAAAATCCTAGTGAAATTACGTCCTAGTACTTCCACTGAGCAGCTTTCACATATCTGTCTGTTGTTGGCTCTTATAATTCCTCAATGGCAAACAATTTGAGCTATTACTTTTTGTCGAAATCGTGGATTTAGCGGTCGTTCCAACTACATCGCTGAAGAATAAAAACATCTTAACTCACCACGGCTTTGCCCATTGATTCTGGGCTACAAAATCTAGTTCACACAACTTGTCTCGTAGAACCAATGTTGCCTAATTTCCGAGTTACATGCTAGAAGCAGATCCCAGTGTTACCACAATTCCTGTTATGAAGTTTTAAGGGCTCTCTTAAGTAGCCAATTGTGGTATCTTATCAGCTGATGACTTTTGGCCAAAGCAAATAATGTTCTCATCCTGCCCTCTATTCTACTTCTTGGAACGTTCTACCGTCGCTGTGGCCCGCGCAATGAAGTTGGTGACCCTCCTCTTCTGAAGCCCCTTATGCTTTCTTATCAGCTGTTATCACGGCCTGCCACCCACCAATAATGTTCCCATCCTGCACCCTATCTTCCCTCTTGGAACCAACGCCCCATCGTTGCTGTGGCCCGCGCTATGGAGTTGGTGGCCCTCCCTTCTAAGGCCCTTGTGGTATCTTATCAGCTGTTATCACATCCTGCCACCCAGCAACAATGTTCCCATCCTGCACCCTATGTTCCCTCTTGGAACCAACGCCCCATCGTTGCTGTGGCCAGCGCTATGGAGTTGGTGGCCTCCTTCTAAGGACCCTTGTGGTATCTTATCAGCTGTTATTACTTCCCGCCACCCACCAATAATGTTCCCATCCTGTACCCTCTCTTCCATCTTGGAACCAACGCCCCATCGTTGATGTGGGCCGCGCTATAGAGTTGGTGGCCTTTCCCTTCTAAGGACCCTTGTGGTATCTTATCAGCTGTTATTACTTCCCGCCACCCACCAATAATGTTCCCATCCTGCACCCTATCTTCCCTCTTGGAACCAACGCCCCATCGTTGATGTGGGCCGCGCTATAGAGTTGGTGGCCTTTCCCTTCTAAGGACCCTTGTG